AATAGTAGCGATTTAGAATCGCTAGGAAAGAGGACATTAAACATATTAATATTAGCGAGTGCCCTAATAATATTAGGGTCCTATTTATTAGCAACCTAACCCTAGCTAATCCGACGGCCGACCTACTCGGTAGTAATAACGATAAACTAGTGCCCCCTAATAGCATAGATCCTAAACAACTTAAGCGCATACTAGAACCTATTCGAGAGACCTATATTAATGTGTTTAAGCACTACCTAGCATCGACATTGCCTATATTTAAAGAGACGGATTATAAGATTAATATTATAGAGGGTAAGGAGGTTCCTTTTAGCCCCCTCTACAACCTTAGTAAACGAGAGCTTGCTATACTACGTAAGTACCTAGAGGAAAACCTAGCTAATAGTCGAATTCGATATAGTAATAGCCCTGCTAGTACACCTATCCTATTTGTACTAAAAAAGGATAGCGGCCTGCGTTTATGTATTAATTATAGAGGGCTTAATGCTGTTACTATTAAAGACCGCTATCTACTCCCGCTTATTAATAAGACCCTTAACCGCCTTTCTAGTGCCTACTACTATACTATATTAGACATTAAGGACGCCTATTACCGCATCCGTATTCGTAAGGGCGATAAATGGAAGACAGCCTTCCGTACTCGCTATAGCTATTTCGAGTACTTAGTTATACTATTTAGGCTAGCTAATGCCCCTGCAATATTTTAGTCCTATATCAATTAGGCCCTTTTAGGCCTATTAGACTATCTCTGTGTAGTTTACCTAGATAATATCCTAGTTTATATACATTTACCCGACATTGCGGAGTACTAGGCTATAGTCCGTAAGGTGCTCGATCGCCTACGAGCCTATAGCTTATATTGCAAGCCTTCTAAATGCACCTTTGCTACTAAAGAGGTATCCTTCCTTAGCTTCCTCGTATTAACCGAGGGTATTAAGGCTGATCCTAATCGGATTAAGACTATTACTAAGTAGCTAACCCCTACTAGTATTAAGGAGCTTTAATTATTCCTCGGCTTCGCTAATTTCTATCGTCGCTTTATTAAGAGCTATTTACGGCATATAATGCCCCTAACTAAGCTTACTAAAACTAAGGCTAACCTAACTAGAGAGTTCAAATAGACTAACAGAGCACAAGCCGCTTTTAACGGTTTAAAGAAGCGATTTACTAAAGTCCCTTTATTATACTATTTTGTACTAAATAAGCAGATCCGAATTGAGACTAACGCTTTACAGTTCGCTATATTAGCTATAATATCTTAGCAGTCAGACAGTGACTACTACTAGTACCTAATTGCCTTCTTCTTAAGAAAGATAATTAATGCTAAGCGTCGCTACGAGACCTACGAGTAAGAGCTCTTAGCTATTATAGAGGCCTTTAAGCATTAGAGGCATTACCTCGATAGGGCCTAATATACGATACAGGTCTATACAGACTATAACAACCTCCGTAGCATTACTAAGGTTACTAGAGTTATAGGTCGACAGGCTAGATAGGCCGTCTACCTCGCTAGGTTTGATTTTAATATGTTATATCGGCTAGGCGTAAGTAACCCTACTAATAGCCTATCGAGGCGACCTAACTATAATAGCGGGACTTAGCAATCTATTAATTCATTGTTTCTAACCCTGCAGCATAAGATTGCTATAGCCCGTATTATTAATAAGCACGCGCAGGATAAGCGGCTTACCGGACTCCGCGACAGCTTAAAGTATATTAATGCTCCTACTATATTAATAGTGCGTATTAAGGTAAGAGCTAAGGACATAGACAGGAGAAGTTATAATAACTCCCTAGTCGATATCGCTATATATAGTAACAGCGATTAAAGCACTAATATAGTTAATCCGGCTACTAGTACTATTAGATGCATATAATACGTACCTCGTTTAATAGCGAGGGTGCTATTAAATAACCTTGCAAATAGGGATAGTTAATCGTTTATAGATGAGCTGTTACGGGCTTAGCAGAGGGACGCCTTTACTGCTAAACGTATAGACAAGCTTGTAAGTAGGCGAAAGACTCGATCTAGTAAGAGTAATTAGTCGATCGACGATAAAGGTTACTTAAGGTTTAAGGGCAGATACTATATCCCCGCTAAACAATCGATTAGACAAGAACTTCTTAAGCGACACTATAATAGTAAGCTTGCCGGTTACTATAGTATAGAGAGGTCGTACGAGCTACTATCGCGTACATACTACTAGCTAAAGAGTAAGCGGGATATAAAGGACTACGTAAATACGTATGCCGTATATTAACGTATTAAGGCACTAAAGTATTAGCCTTTTAGCGAGTTGTCCTTATTGCCAATCCCTTATAAGCTATTTACAGAGCTTATAATAGATTTCATTATAGGTCTTCCCCCTGCTAAGCGAAGAGGAAGCAAAGACATCTTTAAGGCTATCCTAGTCGTTATAGACTAGTTTACTAAGGGCGCTCGATACATCCCGGCGCGGAAAGATTAGACTGCTATTAATATAGCAGAAGCGCTATAGAATAACATCTTCTATACCTATTAGGGGACCCCTAAAGGGATAGTCTCTAACCGAGGTTCGATATTTACATCTTATTATTAGAGTAAGATTTGCCTGCAGCTAAGACTTAAGCATCGCCTGTCTATAGTATTCTATCTACAAACAGATAGTTAGACCAAAAGGCAGAATGCTACGCTATAGCAGTACCTGCGTAGCTATATTAATAAGAACCCTAACGACTAGGTTAATCTCCTATAACTAGCCGAATTCGTATACAATAACAGTATCTACTTATCTACTAAGGTGTTACCTTATTTCGCTATAATAGGAAGCAACCCTACGCTACTATAAGACCCCCTATCGCTCGAGGCCGAGCGTAAGGAAAGGGAAGCGTGTTAAGTACTAATACCTAAGACACTAGCGGCTATTAAGAGGGTTTAAAGGATGCGGGAAATTCACGCTAAGATAGCTAACAAACTAGCAAAGGCCTAGGCCTATTAGAAGGCCTACTATAACAAATACTACCTTCTAATAACCTTTAAGCAAGGCGACCTAGTTATACTTAGCACGAAGAACCTCCGTATCCGCAAATACCCCTCGCCTAATAGCAAAACAAGGCCTAAACTCGCACTAAGGTACATCGGCCCTTTCCGTATCCGAGAACCTAGGGGTACCTAGGCCTATTAGTTATAGCTTCCACCTTATTACACTATCTATAATACCTTCTATATATCCCTTCTTAAGCTATACTACCTACGCGAAGAAGATAAAGCACCTGCTAAATCCGAGGACATACTAGCTAATAGTAAAGAACTGTAGTCTATAGAACGTATTCTAAAGCACCGGACTAGATAAGGCAAGAAGGAGTACCTATTAAGGTAGCAAGGCTATTCGCCTAAATAGGACTCGTAGGAAGCTAAAGGTTCTTTTAAAGATATAACTAAGTTGTTAGATAAGTATTAGACTAGTATAAAGAACAAGAAGAAGGCTAAGGGCCTATAATGTCGCCTAGGAATAATGCTACCCCTAGGGTACTATTAGCTAACTAATTAGAGGCAAGCAATTATTAACAATAAAGGACAATAAGACTATACTAGGCGCGCTACGACGCGTTAACTAATTGCCTACTCTTTTAAGGACTCTACCTCTTTACTAACGCGCCCTATAGGTCCCCCTTTTATTCCTTTATTCTATCGAGGCCTTAAGGCCTAGGCAATCTGCGAGGACGGCGCGCGCGTAAATAACGATAGTAATAATAACGACGGCGCGGCCGGCGCGGCTATATTAGTAATAGTGCTACGGAGTGTGTTGCTATTTAAGAAAAGAAGGACATAGCTATATTAGTAACGGTATTGCTAAGTTATTATTAGTTAAAGAAGGAAATTAGAAGCAAGGTAAAGTTAGCGCTAAGACGGCTAGCGCCGCTATTATTAACATTACTTACTATTATTACTACGCCTATAGATATAACCTTACCTGCACTACGAGCCTAAGGCACCTTTAATTAAAACTTTAATTAAAACTTTAATTAAACCTTTAAGCCGCTTAAAAGATTAAGCGACTAATAGACTAGCTAACTAAGGGCAAAACTATAGAGCTAAGCTAGCCGGGGTCGATCTTGCGGACAATAGGTTACTCCTCGATCTATCTAATCCTTTAAGCGAGGCGAACCTCTACTACTATATTTATAATAGCCTTTATTTATAGAAACTAGACGAGCTGTGTTTTTTCGGAAAAGATAAGATAAGATTAACAATTAAAGGCTACTAAACCTAGCTAATTAGAGCTAGCGAAACTACGAACAATAATAGCCCTCGTAATAATAAGAACAAACCCTCGGAAGCGGATATAGCTAGGTCTTTTAAAGTAGACGTAAAGAACTCGGAACGACATTACTTAGAGCGGAGGCAGTGCTATAATACCCCGTATACCTACCTATTATAGTAGGGAAGGTACGCTCGTATTATAATTAGTCGATAGTCCTTAATTCTTATAGCCTTATATCCCTTTACTTTATTATATATAAGAATAGCGCAGTTAGAGTTAGACATTATATTATATTAGAGGTAAGGTTTAATATAGTTATATAATCGGTAGTTATACGTTCAATTTAGCGCGGACTAAGCGGCTTATTAGGCCTGCTAAGTTAGTAGCAATAGAGGTTGAGACTAGAACAAAGACCGGCTACAAGGGCGCGGCCTTTAGAAAGGAAGCGTATATTAGGACTAAAGAGGTTACACGTAATTGGCATATAACCGGGCTCGAGTAAAGCTAGGGTCTTAATGCCTCAGGTAGGGCTTGGCGCTTAGCAATAGGCCAACTTACCTGCCTTCCTCCCTCTCCTCCTAGCTCCTTATCGAATACTACTCGTACCTACTACCACCCTATCTACCTGCTGATATACCCTTCTCACACCTACTCGTATACCTACAAATTAGTGGATTTCAGGAATTCCGAATGCTTGGATATTCTATTCTACGTTCCGACCGGAAATTCCTATTCCCGCAGGAGGTATACACAACCTTATTCATAATACCTCATATGATCCAACCTCTGCACAGGTTTGGAGTCCCAGTAGCAACATACCCGTACTCACCACCAGGCTTCACGTCATCCACCTGGATTACAGTGTGGCTTATTAGCCTTCTCGCCTTCTCCTGCCCATCCATCTTCCATAATTGACGGTCCTTGGTCGACATGAAGACGAGGGCCACGCCATGTCTTGATAGGCTAACGCCTCGCCGTGCTGTCAGGCTTCAATGTGGGATGGATAATAAGAAGGATCTAGAAAGCGATCGAGCATGGACACCCCCGCCAAGAAGGGTAGAAGTTCTGAAGTAGAATACAGTAGTATAGTCTTTTCCGGCAAGAACAGCGCTGAAAACATGGCCATACGGTAGCAGTTTCACTTTCCTCTCCAGGGATCCTCGCTGGAAGACTTCCCGCGCAGTAGTCCGCTTCCGCTTCCCTTTTCCCTTCCCTTTCCCGACATCGCTGTCGTGCGCGAACGAAGACATCGGTCTTCGCGCCGTAGCTCTCCAGCTGTGGATCCCACTGCGCAGCCTCCTCCGACTTCACCTCGTCTTTTTGGCCCGTGCCACGCGTAGAAGCTGGGAAGGAAGGGACGGATGGTCTTCAAACGAGGCCTGGGGATATGCCAGGACGCTGTTGATTCTGGCAGCTCTGAAAGCTGTGTGTCAAACGTCTCGACCACGATCATGCTTTCAGTATGGAGCATGAAACATGAGCGGTGAATGCGCTGGCATGCAATAATTGCCACCGCCATTGGTGATTCGAAGAGCAAGGCCTAGTGCCAGACTGCTGCCTTGCGAATTTGAGGCTCGCCGGCCTTCCTTGCAGGGGGGGGCGCGGCGGCCAACCGAGATGATAAAATTGGGCCATGTATGAGCCTGCGCGAAGCACTGTTGCGGCGTTGCCCGGCGGCGAAGCACTTCTTCACTTCCCCCCTCCGTCGGCACGTCAACGTCAGACCACACAGCAAGAATTTGATCGCCTGCAGACATTGTGACACCCACAAACGAATTCGAACGCAAAGAAGATGGGCCTTCCAACCACACCAGTCGACGCTGCATCAAGCTCGAACCCAAAACCAAACATCTTTTCGCTACCAGGCGAGTTGCGCAACCACATCTGGCGTCTCGTCTGCCTTTCCGATGGCCCCGTCAATGTTGAAGCACTATGTCTGCCAGACAAACAAAAGCTTCATCAACCCGCAGCCTCGTTCACTTGCAAGCAACTCAGGCACGAAGTGCTAAGCATTTACTACGCCGAGACACAATGGTATCTTGGCAAGATTGGCTACTTCGACAAAGGTCTTCGCCTGCATGACTTCAACTTACGACTGGCGCGATGGAAAGAAATGCTGGGACCGTACACCAAGCACCTGACGCATCTCAGCATGGCTATCGATGGACGCTGTTACAGCGGCGAGGACTTTAGCATACCGGCCGATGTTCAGTACGAGATTGAGGCAGTGCAAGATGGGAAAGTGAGATTTGAGAGGAATGGCACGTCGAGGTGCAAATGTCGACTGAAGCCTGGGGTGGAAACACAAGCAAGCAGGGATGGCGCCGTCTTACTGGAAGTCATGAAGCAGTATTCAGCAAGCTACTGGGAGCCTGTGCTCGAAGGTCACTGTCCCAAGTGTGACTTGAGCAGGCTTGAGACGCTCAGGAGAAGTGGAGTCTCGCATCTGCCGTTGTGGGAGGACATTGTCAGCTGCTAGACACCTGCGCCGCATCTGGCAGAATAAGCCGAACGGTACGAACCCGGAACTTGATCTGATCAAGCCTTCGCCCTTGAGCAGATCATTATGAGCCTTGAGCATTCCCCAGACCTGTTGGGCATGTTTCTCTACACTCTACACCCTTGTTGCCTCGCATCATCTTCGCTGTCCGACTCCCGAAGGCTAGCCACTCAGCGCAAATCTCGGCCCTGCAATGAACATAATAGTTGGCCATTCGCCAGATTTACACATACAAGTCCTGCACTCAAAGGTCATGAGAGAATGGACACGAACCCAGCCGCGACTCCGTCCCTCCTGGCCCTTGCAGCCGAGATCCGCTACCAAATATGGGAATATTCGATACCATCACGCACATCAGTCAGCATTCTCAAACAGGCCTATACCAAGCAGATCCCACAACTCATAATAGCGTCTGAGCCAGATCTCGCACGCGTCTGCAAAGCTCTGCGTCACGAAATTCTCTCAGCATACTACAGCTCCAACGAATTCGTCGTGCGTCGAATCACATTCGGTCCTTCCGACTCCAAGTACCTGCAGACTTACGAGCGGTATCTGCATACGTACGAGCAGTACCTACGAGCGCTGAAGCGATGGCGAGCATATCTATACACCCAGCCCGCAGCGAGGCAATTGAAGAGCGTGAATCTGGGCATGTTCTTGACCATTCGGGACGGGTGCGGAGGATCTTATGATGAGGCGTTTGATTTCATTGTAGCCAAGGCATTGGACGGGCGGCTTTCGTGCAGATTGACGAATTTGCGGGAGGACTTTTGCGTGTGCCATCTTCGGTCAGAAGGCAATGGGATCGATCTCGAGGATGGACGGTGCTTGGTGGATGCTATGATCTTGGCCTGCAAGAGGTTGTATTCTGCTCTGGGCCGCGTGGAGTGCGGAAGCTGCTCGGGACAGAAGCTCGTTCAGATAGAGGAGATGTAGGTTGCCGCTGGTATATCGTTCCAGTGCATGCCCGAGTCACGTCTCTTGATCTTGATGTTTGATGTCTTGATGTCACGTCTCTTGATGTCTGTTGTCTCTCTCTCTGCCACCGTTCTCCTCCGCGAATGCTGCCGATAATGCAGCTCGTGCCGTCCTTCGGACATTGCTCTTACTCTCGTCGCTTTGCTTCTCGCTGCTCTTGGTTTCGATATTATCATGGTTCGACTTTCGGAGGTCCCAGGCCGCCCGTTCCCCGACATTTGAGCAGACTCGTGCTTCGGCCAAACTTCACCGATGACACCACACGTCTTCCCTCTTCCCTCACCACGCGTCGTCTTCTTCTTTCTGCTTCGAGCACGCTGCTGAACCGCACGAGACACATCCTTGATGCAAGCAATCTTTCGACTGCGGCTTCGAGAGCCGCTCGTAACAAGCTTGCGAAATGGACACAGTTACATTCCCGCTTTTTGGACCAGGCGCTTGTTGCGAACACTGACTACCGACGTCGACGTGGACAATGCTCTCAAACATCTTGGCACAATCCGATCGTGGAGTCAAGATGACATCGATACGATGCTACGTCTGCACCAGGAAGGCGCTGATCTCAAGAAGATAGCAGCACAGCTGAACAGAAGTCGCGGTGCGGTAGGAAAGCGGCTTGTCCGTGCTTTGAGGTATGGCAATGTCGTTGCCGTGCGTCCTCGCGAAGCGAAGCGATGGACCGATCAAGATCACGAGCAATTCAGACGGCTGCGAGAACAAGGCAACAGTCTTAGGAACATTGCGGCCGTCCTCGGTCGGTCCTATCAGAGTCTTCAGTCCAGATCAAACGTCGAGAACGAAAGGACTTTAGGCCTTCGTGGTGAACGTGGCCTTCATTCTCGTCGGCCATTCGAGCCGGGAGACTCCGAAAGAATCCATGATATGCGACGCCAAGGTGACTCGTGGAGGAAAATTGCGTCGCTTATGGGCCGTACGATGGGAAGCGTTGGGACGTTTCATGCGACAAATACTGCAAATCAGAGCGCCAAAATCAAGCCGACGTCTAGCAAATTCTGGACGTATGGAGAAGACGAGCTGCTAATGGATCTTAAACGACAGGGGAAGTCATTTGAGGAGATAGCGACCCGCCTTCCAGATCGTACAGCGAAGGCCGCATCATATCGTTATCGCACACATCTGATCCGTTCAGGCGTGGCGAAGAATATGCATGGTAAAGACTGGACACTTGAGGAATTGCAGAAACTCAGACTACTTCGAGGGTCTGGAGTTTCATATGCAGAAATAGCTACACAACTTGGACGCACTATAAAATCTGTCAGTTACAAGTATACTCTGCTGTTCCGCTGAGTCAGCTGCCAGCTATGCGAGCCAAAGGCCATAAGGTAACTGCCACAGGTTGCATCGACCTTGGGCCCGAGGATGCCTTGGTGTAAATACCACTCCTTTAACGTGGAAAGGAACCACGACCACGCCGCAGAACCAGAGCATTATGATCCACTTTCCATCGGGACTCCAGATCGCTGACATCACCAATGACCTGTATCACTTCTCATATCCTGGAACCTATGCAGAGAGCAGGGCAAGGCATGCGTTCAATCACGAGCATTCTATCGCTCTTGCCCACGAACCGTCGGCAGAACACGACTCCTTGATAATTCGTGTCATGCGAAAGCAAGCACTGCTCCTGCCGCTCTATGGTCAGCTCACCAGCTACGAGGCTCCATCTCCTCGACAGCTTGTCCAAATTAGTCACAAGATGGACCTGAGGCTTCATAGGTCCTCCCTTCGCGGTGTTCGACCTGGGGTCTGCCACACGCTGAGCCTCCTCGATTTCAAGCACTACGATATCCAAAAGGTCGGACGCCATGATATCGCTAAGCGCACATGGAAAGCGTGTTATCGCATTGTCACAACCATCGTGCCCTCAAGAGAGACATCGAAATACGATCGCAAACTGGATGTGAATTCACTCGATCTTGACAAGCCAATTGCGCCCTCTCAACCACGCGGCAACGAGTACATTATCTCTTGGTTCCATTTCCATCTAAAGCGGCTCCTATCATCTTGTCACAGTCCGTATGATCGCTGGCAACATGAGGGAAAGTGGAAAACACAGCCGAAGTTCGCTTTCACATACGCGAAGAAATCCGCCAAGCTTGCTAGTCAACAAAAGAGGCGCGATGGGAAGGATTGTGCCGATTCTGGAACGTCGCAGAGTCAACGAACGTTTGGATCAAGATCTTCAATGGCGGCGTTTGGTATAAGATTTCTGCAGTTCTACACTGTATGCTAAAAACCGAGCCGAAATGCTTCTCAGTCTGGACCGCTCAGAATTATCGCTTCCCATCCAGCACGACAGATACGGGGGGACTTGCTGGAGGACCTTGGTATTCTCGAATGATCGAGGCGTAACCTAGGACGTCTGATGAGGGAATAACCATTCTGATCAGTTTCTGGAATGCTGATCATTCTACGCTTGCGATTGACATGGTTGGGGACCAACCAAACTCCATCAGCAGCTGCAGAGCTGTGGTAGATTGCCTCGAAGCGATGCGGCCAGGACAAAGCAGTGTCAAGAGAAGCAGTTGGTCGGGTAGTGACAGGCATGTCGTGCAGCGGCAGCAATGGCCGGCTGGAAGTCGTCGGTGAATGTCGTTGGAAGACGTCTAAGCAAAATTTTCAGCCTCGTGCAGAAAGTAGAAGGCATGTTCTTTAGGTGATGGAATTACTGTGACGATAGCTCCACGCAAACCACAGACCAATGGAAGTAAGAACGGTTGCAATGAGACCAAATGCCAGTTGCGTTGCTGTGTTCTGGTCCATGATTTTTTATTTCGTAGACAACACAGTTGTTCTGATATGGTGACTGCTCTTGTTGAAGTTAATGTGGACGATGGAGGTTGTAAAGCTAAAGGCCCTCTGCATCCGAATTTCGACATGCACCGTCCGTCCCTAGATGTGTTGATGCTTAGCCTGAGAATCGAAAGAGCTGGGCTGGATCGCGGTGCCCTTGGTACAAAGAGGTGTGAAGAAACAGAAGGCTGAGGCTGCAGATGGGTATCGTTTGGCTCGGAGGAAGTATATGAATGACCCTCCAAGATCTAGGATCACAGGAGATGCTTTGTTTATGAATGCGGGTGTGGAGACACCCATAGAGTGCGAGTAGTTGCCTACTTACTTTCTGGAGCAGACAATTGAAGAACAATTCCTCAATAGCGACTTCATGACCAGCTAGACCTATCGGGTCCGAGTAGAAAGCTTTCAAGGCTCGACAGCTTTAATCCGACTAGGCAAATGGTTCGCAAGCTGCAAGTCTTGCATGCTCGTTCGTCATGGCTCGTGGATCCTATCAAATCGAAAAAAGATGGGCAGCGACATATAAGTAAGCACTCGAGGCCGAAATCTGATCCATCCAGGGCAGCCTCATCCTCATTCATCCATCACATAGAAAATCATTAACTCGAGCCTGATCTTCAACTTTGCTCTACGCCATACACACACCTTTCCCAACCCTACGTACACTTCGCACAAGCCCCCAGATCCCTCTTAACAACCTTAGTCTCAGGCCGAATATCAAAATCAAAAATATCAATCGGCAAGCCCAAAGTCGTACAAGCATTCGGAATATCCACAATTCCCGCAATATGACCTTGCACAGGCGCACAAGACAAAAGCAAATAGATTTGATAATCATCATATCCGTATCGTCGAAGGTATTCGATGACTGAGAAAAAAAAATCCACCGTGTCAGCATCACGATATTGTCTCGCTTTCTACTGTACTCACCTCTCAAACAAGTCTGCCGATAAGCAACCGTCGCATCCAAATAATGCTGCTTCCCATTCGAATCCACACTGAACCCCTCGAAATATATATACCTACCCGGACCAAACTGCGGTTCCACAGGACCAGGGATATAAATCGGACTCTTGAGACCCATCTCCGCCATCCCATTCTTGATGACGGAAAATTTGATCGTAATGACACCCGCGATTTCAATGGCTCCGCAGAAAGAAATCTCACCATCGCCCTGACTGAAATGCAAGTCTCCGACGCTGAACTTGGCACCTTTGACGTGCACGGGAAGGTAGACTTTGCTGCCACGGGAAAGATTCTTGATATCGCAATTGCCACCGTGTTCGGGACGACCGGGAATCGTGCGTGCGCCTTCCCTTCCGACTTTTTCTTTGAGCTCCCCAGAATGCGCTCCGACATGGACATTCTTCCTCGCAGAGTTCTTCGGTGCTAATTATCAGTTCACGGATCAAGTTACTCCAAACCACGTAGCCTGCATTACTACACTAAAGCTCATTATCCTGGTCTCCAACGAAGCCCGTACCGAAGTTATCCGAATCGTTAAGTATAACAGCATCTTCCTTCTCTTTACCCGTACCCTTCTTTGCTCGTTTCTCTCTTATCTTATTAACCTTCGTACCGAAGGATCTTAGAGCCGTATTGCCTAGCTCTTCTTTGTCTAATATCTAATGCTCGATCTGTACGCTATAAGAGTAGTATCGAACTATTCTTACTTTGCGCTTCTAGCCTACCCGATTCTCCCTCGTCTTCGCCTATTTACTTGCTACGAGGTTCTAGTTAAGGTCGGCTATAAGCAACAAGTTCGCTTCGACTATATTATAGCTACGCTTAGCTACGCTTATAGAGTAGACGAGAATGTCTACGCCCGACGTCTAGGAGCGATTAAACTCTACGATTAATTCTATTCGCTAGCTAGCGTCCTTAGGTACCCTAGAGTTAAAAAGCTGCGAATTTAGACTAGCCTTCTTGTACGCCTAGATAGAAGTGTTAGTATATTACTTTAATTCTTATTTACGAAGGTAGAGCTTACTAGATTAATAGTATAAGCTACTGCGTTAGAATAGCTTATTACTACGGCCTTCTGGCCCTTATTATCTTTAACGGTGTTGGCCGTCTGCTTCTTAAGCTCCGAGATAATGTCCTTAATACGTAGGCTTTCTATAAGCTCGTTAAGGAAGTAAGTGTATAGGTCCTTATCGGGCTTAAAAAGCTAGCCGAAAGACTTAATCTCCTTTATCGTAAAGTCTATTTCCTACTCCTTAGTAGATAACGGCGCGTAGCCTTTACGCTCTAGATTATTGTTCCTTGCCTTAATGAACTTGTTAAGGGCCTTGCTATAGTTCTTCCGTACCTAGTCGCTTATCTGAGTCGGCAAGGTAAAGCCGCGCTTATCTTTAGATAGCAGAGTCGATAGGGTAGTTCTAATTCGTGTCCTATAAGAGCCGAGGAAAAATTGCTACTACGCTTTGCCCTTGCCGTTAATCTTTCCTATACGGATCTTCTAGTTAATGCTCCGCTTTAGCTTTTCTACCTAATTATTCAATTCGTTAATTATATCCTAAGGTAGCTTAATATTCTTTAGCTCCTTATCTATATTATCTAATAGTCGCATCTTCTATTAGGGTTTTTTTACGTTGAACGGCTAGACCGTTTTGTATGTCCGCAGTATAAGAAACTCCCTTAATACTAGCATAAGTAAGTCGGCTATTAGGGTGTTAGGTTCCTTAATAGAACCCTTTTTCTAAGGCTCTCCGCTTAAAGCTTTCTCGTAGCGACCGATAATCCTCTTAAAGCCCTCGCCTAGAGGCTTACTTCTAAACTCGTTCTATGCTTCAAAGTCCTTCTAGTAGCTAGGTTCGGATCGCCCCCTATTATTACGGCGAGCTAAGGCGTCGAAGACTCTAAACTATTCAATTATCGGCTTCTACGTTCTAGCAATTAGGGTACCTATTACGAAATACACCGCACATTTCGTATTATAGTTTACGCTTAGCTTGCGAAGCGTACTTATACTATTCGTATATATTCTATGCTCCTCGTTAGCCTCGTCTATTGCGATAGCTCTAACTAGAAGAGTGTTATAGGACGCAGTTCTCTACTCGGTCGAGCCGTTTGCGTAAGGCTCGCCTAGTTAGGTCCTCTTATACTATACGCTCTTAACAGAGCAGTTCTAGCTCTCGTAGAATACGTACAAACGACCCTTTAGCACGAATACGAGCTTCTTATATAGACCGAGAGGCGCCTTAGTAATAATTAGATTTTGCGTAGAGCCCGGATAGCTAACTCCTTTCCGGTACTTATCTACCTTAGGAGTAGCGACGCGATTAGGCCTAAAGCCTATTACGTCTGCCCTTTTTAGGATCTTAATACTATCTATTTCCTGTTTCGTATTGTTTATATTAGGCGGGTTGAAGTTGTATAGTTTAATACCTAGCTCCTTAAAGTCCGTATAAGCGAGGAATTTCTTAATAGTATCGGGTTTTAAACCGGTAGTTAGGCATAGAACTATAATGCCCTTGCGAAGCCTAAACCTACGCTATAAGTCGCGCTGCTCGCATCTATAGGGGATAGAGAACTTGTTCGTAGATAGGCATTTAAGTTGCGAATTTTCCGTATCCTATAGAAGGTGTTTCTCTGCATTATCTCTGTTTTTAGCGTAGTCTTCAAGTATATCGGTAATCTGCTTATAAAAAACGAAGATTATAAGTTGCTCTATAGTCTTGCCGAGACCTATAATGTCGCCTAAGATTCCTCCGGCTTCTCGAGTATGCTACGGTCGGTAGAATATAAGCTAAGCAGCTCCGAACACTTAGTAGGCGTATAGCTTTGTCTTAAAGCCTATTAGAGCGATAGGTGTTTCGGGATCTATAAAAAGATTAGGCGATAGGCGTAGATAGAGGCAGATACGTTTAACGTGCTCGTACGTTATCTGCTCTAGCTCGGTAGTATAACTCTAATTAAGATCCCCTAACTAGGTTTGCTTAATACGGTCGAGGAGCTATTAATAGGTTTAACTTAGAATATACGGGGTCGACTCTACCTACTCCTCTAGGTCGTCCGGCTCCGGAGTATCCGTATCTATATTAACGATAGGCCTAGCGCGTCTAGCAGTCCTACTATCTCTCACAGGCTCCGATTTAGTATTAGAGTCGCGCCGCCTAGTATAAGTATAAGGATCCCGTATACGTTTACTACTACCTAATCCTCTTCGGTTTCTCGTTAGACTATTACTAAGACCCCTACTTAATCTATATATTTGTATCGACTTGTTATTTATAGAACGCTAAGAACCTAAAGCATTTAGATAACTTTCTAGAGGAGTAAAGATCCTACGTAAAGCTGCCGGCGCGGTAGTGTCTACAGTCGACTCTTAACTATTTTCCTTAAGTCTAGAACCTTAAGGCTTCTCTTAAGGATTCTCTTAAGCATTCTTTTAAGCATTCTCTTAATGATTCTCTTAATGATTCTCTTAATAATTCTCTTAATAATTCTCTTAAGGCGTAGAGGGCACGGCTAGAGCATTCGGCGCGGTAGCGTCTACAGTCGACCCTTAACTATTTTCCTTAAGTCTAGAACCTTTAGGATTCTCTTAAGCATTCTCTTAAGCATTCTCTTAAGCATTCTCTTAAGCATTCTCTTAAGCATTCTCTTAAGCGTTCTCTTAAGCATTCTCTTAAGCATTCTCTTAAGCATTCTCTTAAGTATTCTCTTAAGCCGTAGAGGGCACGGCTAGAGCATTCGGCGCGGTAGCGTTTCTAGTCGACGTATAACTATATACATTAAGTCTAGAACCTTGAGCCTACTATAGAGATACCGGCGTAGGGGTAGGCGGTAACTTAGGATCTCTAAGCCGAATCCTAGGTAGAGCTATACTAAATAGAAAGAGGGGCTTATCTATAGGCGACAGTGTCGATACCCTCGAGGATAGAGGGATACTAACTACGGCGCTACGTAGGAGTTAGCTAGATTAGAGACCTAGCCGCTATCGGCGCTGCTTATAACGACGTTACTATATCTATAGGCTAAATAGCAGCTTCTCTCTTAGCTATAAGTCTTCCGACTCTACCGAAGCTCTAGCAGTTATAGCGATTAGACTGCTCGTATTCGTTTTCCGCTTCTTCTCGATATGCCTATTAATATCTCGACCGAATATCGCGCGAGCCTTATTCTCGAATTTCTTCTCTACCTACTCGACAAAATCCGGCTCGTATTCTTATAGCTCTATTTAGTAGCCGATAAATAGTAGTATTTCAATACTCCCCGTACCGTATCTGCCGGCTGCGCTATATTTAGTAACGGCGGCTTCGAACTCACCGTTATCGGTAATCTTATTCGTATCGTCCTCGCCTAGGTTTACTACTGCTATTACTATGTTTAACTAGCTGCGGATGTTAAACTTAGACTCTAACTAATCCTCTAGGAGGTTATACGACAAATTTGCGTATAACGATCGAAGATTATAGTTATATACAAATTTCTTTAGAGTCGTAGAGGGCGCTTGCCTAAGACATCCTACTAGTAGTATCGAAAATAATTAGCCGAATAGCTATACGACAAGTACTATATCTAACCGATCGACTGCGGTTAGCGTAATAGTATAGGTATTCCTAGCCTAGGGCGTCTTAAGTCTTCTAGTAGGTGCAGCGAATATAGATCCCGGCTGCTATATTTAGAAGTTTCGACGAGTAGCAAAGTCTTAACTACCCTAATCCTAGACGGTGTCTACATCCCCGCCGCTAGGGTTTGCTTCTATTAGAAGGACTTTACTTGCCGCCTAATTATTTAATGTTGTCTTTAATGCGCTTAGTAGCAATATTACGGGTCTCGAGCGGCGACTAGATAATAGCGTAGGTGTTTAAGTAGGCTCGCGCTTCCGCGCATCCTTATTAGTCTATTATTGCTTAATAAAGACAGACTACCCTTTACGGATTAAAGATTCCGATACATCTATACTAATAGCGCTACTTAGGTAGCGGAGGTAGAATTCTACGGCGGCGCGATGCTGCTCCTTCTTATTGTTATTATCCTTCTAAGAGCCCTAATTTCTTATATAGCGATTGAGAATTTTCTGCTCGTCCTTAAGCTTGCCGTCTAGGAGACCCTACTATTCGTAGACGTAACGCTTTGCCTTGCTATTTCCTACTATATAGTCGCTATAATTTGCGGCTAGCGCGTCGTTATTAGGAACAAATAGCTATACGACGAGTGTATCGATTTCGTTATCTATAAAGTTATAGCGCTAAGGTGTTAGAGCTAGTAGCGGCGTAGCGGGCGCCGATATAGCGGCGGCGGCCGTAGTATGCGGTTGTTAAAGCGAAGGTATTATGCGGTTATTAAAGCGAAGGCATTCTACGGTTGTTTTGAGTTTCTAAATTAGCGAGGTAAGCTTTCGTCAATTTAGTATCTACGTAAGTGAAGCCG